TGGCCTCCCAGTTCTGGCACCCTCAACTGAAAGCCCCCCCCCCCCCATCTCTGAGGATAATGCCTCAGCTGAAAGGGGTGAGCCAAGCCACCAGGGCTCTTCCAAACCGGAGTCCCCTCCAACCTCTCTGAGCTCCTCAGTGTCTGATCGCACCAGGAGCAAGACTGGCCCCGTGACAAACCAGGACACCGAAAAGCGGTGGAACGTGTCATCTGAATATCACCCTGGGGAAACTAAGCTTACCCTTATTCGCTCATCAGACAAGGGTGGCCCGGTGCTCCAAGGGCCCCTGCAACGGAATTATTTGTGTCCACTGCGGGAAACTATAGCCCCTGAGGGCAATCTCACTATGGTATATGTTCCCTTTACCACTAGTGATCTATATAATTAGAAACAACAGAATCCCCCGTTCTCGGAAGATCCCGCCCCGCTAACAGCAGTGTTTGAAACCTTAATTACGGCCCATAACCCTACCTGGGGCGACATGAGGGTCGCTCTTAATACCCTATTAACTGTGGAAGAGAGGCGTTTAGTCCTCTCAAGGGCCCGCGAGTGGGTAGCTGAGATAGAGGGAAACGTGGCCGCGCGGCTGCCTTGAAAGCCCTCCTGACTGGCCACATTATGACACAGCAGGCCGGACCCGTCACGGCCAATACGCCACGGCTATAGTGCAGGGAATGAAACGCTGCATCAGGAAAACCCCAAATTGGGCCAAATTATACAATATAAGACAGGAAAAGAATGAGAACCCAGCTGCCTTTTATGAACGGCTTTGTAATACCTGTAAAAGATACACAGACCTCGATCCTGAGGATATCAACAGGAAACGGGTGCTAATCCCCCTTTTCATTGGGCAGTCCTACGAGGACATTAGAAAGAAGTTGCAAAAATTGGAGGGGGCGTCGGGCAAGAATATAGAGGAACTTTTAGAAATAGCTATGAAGGTTTATGATCAGAGGGATGATGATGAGCGGAAGAAAGGGGCCCGCGTTCTAGCCATGGCCCTAAGAGAAGGATACGCGGAAAGGGGGGACAAGGTTAAGGAACGGCCAGGGCCACCAGGGAAGGGGCGGGGCCCCCACCTGGGTCGAAATCAGTGCGCTATCTGTAGGGAAGAGGGGCACTGGAAGAATGAATGCCCCCGGCGACAGGCCATGGGAAAGGAACGTAAAGATAAAACCCTGTCCCTTCCCATCCTCTACAACAGTGCGGGACATTCAGGGGAGGGATCTTCCCCATAGGGAAGCCAGGGGACCCAGCGGCCCCTCCTGGCGGCGCAAGCTGCCAGCCTGGATCCCACGGTAAAAATTAATGTGGAGGGCCGCCCAATTGAAGCCCTTATTGACACTGGGGCCACCCTTAGCTTGCTCCCTCTTAGTAAGGCTCCCCGAGATAGAGCTCGGGAACGTGCCATGGTACAGGGGATAGAGGGACAAACTACAGCTCTGGAAAAAACTTTGCCTCTCCCAGTAAAAATAGGGGACCGTCAAATTTCCCACCAGTTCGTTTGCAGCCCCTCTTGCCCCATCGCGCTGCTCGGACAAGATATTCTTACTAAACTGCAGGCAGAAATCTCGTTCGATAAAGGGACTATGGAAGTCAGACTCCCTAAGCAGCAGTCCTCCAATTACCAGATGGCCCTGATAAGCGCTGGAAATCACTTCCCGGAATGCTGGGGGAGGAATGAAGAGAGCCAGCTGTCAGGGGTTAACCTTGAGGTTTGGGCAGAGGAGGGAGGCGTCGATCGGGCCCGGAATGCTTCACCAGTGCATATTTCCCTTAAGGAGGGAAGCAGCCCGGTCCGAATTCGACAATACCCTCTTAAGCTGACCACTAGAATCGGGTTAAAACCTCTGATTCATAAGTTTCTGCAGTGTGGGTGGATCAGGGAAGGCACGTCCCCATACAACACTCCAATAATGGGAGTGCCTAAGCCTAATGGGCAGTATCGGTTGGTCCAGGACCTGATACAGGTTAACAAGTTAATAGAGGCTCCCTATCCAGTCGTCCCGAATCCCCATACTATTTTGGGCCAAGTTCCCAAAGATCACAGTTAGTTCTCTGTGTAAGTAGAGTCAGGATGAGCTCTACCCTGACATCTGGTGGTGAATTATGGCAAGTGTGGAAAAGAACTCCAGGGGCTGATCTGGTTTGCATAGGCACCCCCACAAAAGAGCTGAAGTTATTAAGAGCTGAGATCAGTGAGACTGTGTTAACTAGTGGGGGAGCCTGAAGCTATATTGCTAGCGGCTGGCGGAGCAGCTAGCAGAGTGGCGCGTCACGGGGATGGTTGGAGCGGAGCTGAGCGACTCCCACGTCGGTGAGCAGGGCGGAGCGGCTGGAGAAGCAGAGAGCAGAGCAGAGCGGAGCCTTGTGGGAGCGGCCCAAGGAACGGCTGAAGTGGAGCAGAGCTGAGCGGCTCACAGGTTGGTGAGCTGAGTGGAGCAGCTGCCAGAGCCGTTTGTGGACGGCGGGAGCAGCTCGTGGAGAAGGCTGCGGCGGAACCCCACGGAGAGGCAGCCGGTCGGCCTCGGATCACGTACGGTGCCCCTTAACACCCTGCATGCCCTTCCCCCCCCCCCCGCTTGAACTCTGGGGCTGCACTGATCATGGACAGAGACTTTGGGGGGTTGTCGGACTTTTGGGACTTTTGTGATTCTTGGGTTGCTGGATTCAAGAGCCTTTGGGAGTGGGGGACTTTC